CGTGAGATTTGGTGTTATAGTTAGAGATGAAAGAAAGTTTTTTTTTGAAATTTTTTCATTGTATAAATGTAAATATTTTGGGCTTTTTGGTTTTAAAAAAAATAGAAATGGTGGGCCTAACCAACAAGCTCAGGATGAAAGAAAGTTGCGACACTAAAACACAAAATTTAAGTGTAATTTCAACACTAGATTTGGTGCTAGTGTTGGAATTGCTCTAAATACACTATGAACTAAGTCTGAACACACAAAAGATACCCTAGATGCTTATAGAAATTGCATTTAGATGTTGAACTGAATACAACGTCATCAAAAGCAAACAGGGCCAAAGTCGTTTAATTTGGATGACTTGAACTTATGTGTGAATTTGTGGTGAGTTTGCAGGAAACTGATGCAGTGATGCCCTTCAACTTTAAGAATTCGGTAAAAAAAAATCCTTGAGAAAAGGAATCGAAGCATGGATAATGTCATTATTGACGAAGCTCACCAAACCCTACTTAAACTTGAGACATTGACTACGACCCATCATCTCCCTAATCACCATAGAAACACAAAAAACATACCCCCACATGCATCACCAAATATTACAATTATACCCTTCACCAACCCCCACACTCCGACGATTCTCTTTATATGGAAGAAACACTGACCAATGCTCTGTCTCAGTGTCAGCCATCGGTTACAAATAAATAAAAAAGCTTATTTTTTTTCTTCCAAAAATCTGATAATGTCGCCACAAGAAGCGATGATCACTGATCATCAGAAACAGAGCAGTAGTAGTAGTGATGAAGTCATTTTCCGATCAAAGCTGCCGGATATTTACATCCCTAACCACCTCCCTCTCCACGACTACATCTTCGAGAACATCTCCGAGTTCTCCGATAAACCATGTCTGATCAACGGTCCCACCGGCGAGGTTTACTCTTACGCCGACGTCCAAGCCACGTCACGCAAAATCGCCGCCGGTCTTCGTAATCTCGGCGTCAACAAACACGACGTCGTAATGCTCCTCCTCCCGAACTCGCCGGAATTCGTCCTCACCTTCTTCGCTGCCTCTTTCCTTGGCGCAATCACCACCGCCGCAAATCCTTTCTTTACCACGGCGGAGATCACTAAACAAGCCAAAGCCTCCACCGCGAAGATCATCGTCACACAATCACAATACGCCGGAAAAGTCAACAACCTCCAAAACGACGGCGTCTCCATCATCTGCACCGACGACTCCTCCTCCATCCCCGAAGGCTGCCTCTGTTTCTCCGAGTTGACTCAGTCCGGAGAAGAAATAGAGGAAAACGCGACGGAGATATCTCCAGACGACGTCGTGGCGCTCCCTTACTCCTCCGGCACGACGGGTCTACCAAAAGGAGTGATGCTAACACACAAAGGTCTCGTCACGAGCGTGTCGCAGCAAGTCGACGGCGAAAATCCGAACCTTTACTTTCACAGAGAGGACGTGATACTCTGTGTATTGCCTATGTTCCACATCTATGCTCTTAACTCCATTATGTTATGTAGTCTTAGAGTTGGTGCTACGATCTTGATAATGCCTAAGTTCGAGATCAGTCTCTTGTTAGAGCAGATTCAGAGGTGTAAAGTTACGGTGGCTATGGTCGTGCCGCCGATTGTTTTGGCCATGGTGAAGTCGCCGGAGACGGAGAAGTATGACTTGAGCTCGGTTAGGGTGATAAAGTCAGGTGCGGCTCCTCTTGGTAAGGAGCTTGAAGATGCCGTTAGTGCTAAGTTTCCTAATGCCAAGCTTGGTCAGGTTTGTCTCTCTAAATTCTTTTGTGATCTTGCATTGCATGTCAATATTTTTCTTGATATTTGATTACTCCTTCCTTTTAGTATTAAGGTGTTTGTTTTATAGCTTATTTGTTGTGGTCAACAAATATGATGTTACTATAATTTTTTTTAATTTTCTAGAATAGGATGAAGTATCATTTATATCATGACTATATTTAATTTGATGGTTTGTTACTTGTTACTTGTTAGTACTAGTTATTATTATATGTACGTTGCATATGGTATTTGGACCCATTTGATTCAATCTACTATATGAAACTACAAACTTTACGGTTGGGAAATGGACTTGTTTTAAATTGTTATTTCAAATTTTTTTAAAAAAAAAAAAAAAGTCTAAGATTTTTTAAACGTTTGAAATCCTTAACATTTTACGAACTCTTTTACATGTTTAAAACCAAAAAAAAAAAACTCTTTTAAATGTATTTGTGGTGCTTTAAGAAAAGCCACCTACTATATATCCTGCGTTGATAATATAGTTTAGCTAATAATGCTGATCAATGATGAGGATAACCACTACGAGATGCGAGATTATTTTACGCATTTTAGCATAGTGATTCGTGAATGACAATCATCTCTTAACAAGTCGATATCATTTCACTAGTTCCACCCATAACTATCATTTTTTTTTAATCGAAAGATTAATATTCATTGCCGCTAAAGTCTACAAAATTCTAATATTATAACACCAAAAAGTTAAATATGTGACTTGAAATATTAGCTCAGTAGGTGAGATGGGTTGTATGGGTTGTAAGCCTTGTAGGTCATGTGATTGGCAGAGCTTAAAAGGACAAATAATAGGTAGTGTTATTCAAATTATGCAATGCTAGATACGTGCAGGATTTAAAAGTATTCAGCTATTTGCAGCATTCCTGGTTATTGTCTTATAAGTTTTGGGGATAATATCTTGACTCTTAGATTTGTATGGGAAAACCTGATTTGGATTTGGTTCTTGGTTTATTCCGTTTTCTGAGAATCGTATAATCTAACAGATTATGTAGGCTTTGATTGATTGTTTAAAGTTTTGATTGATGGTTTATTACATTTAAAATTATTATTCATTTTTTTTTTAAAAACAATCCACAGTTTTAAGCATTTTAAGTACAATTCCATTGTTAATCGTAGACGCAAATGTCAAACGCAAACATAAAGCATTTAAGAAAATATATCATTTGTTTGCCATTCACATTTCCACTTTGCAAAACATTTTATAAAAACCTGAATAATGTTGTATATATTCGTTAATCTTATACAAAGATTTGAACTTTTGTAATCATGCAACGGCCTAAAACGGCTATATATGTTGAGGCCATAAAGAGAAGTTAAAACAATGCGTTTGAATGTTTGGTTACGAGCAGGGCTATGGAATGACAGAGGCTGGTCCAGTGCTAACAATGTCGCTAGGGTTCGCGAAAGAGCCGTTCCCAGTGAAATCAGGAGCATGTGGTACGGTCGTGAGGAATGCCGAGATGAAGATCGTTGATCCAGACACCGGAGATTCCCTTCCAAGGAACAAACCCGGCGAGATATGCATCCGCGGCCACCAAATCATGAAAGGTTACCTCAATGACCCGGAGGCTACCGCAGCTACGATTGACAAAGATGGTTGGCTTCACTCTGGAGACGTTGGATTGGTCGATGAAGATGACGAGCTTTTCATTGTCGATCGCTTGAAAGAAATAATCAAGTACAAAGGATTTCAAGTGGCTCCCGCGGAGCTTGAGTCTCTCCTCATCTCTCACTCAGACATCAACGATGTGGCTGTCGTCGGGTATGTGAAATTCGAAAATCATTTTCTTACACTAAATTGTTTTAATATTCTGTTTTAATTACGTTAGAAATATCCCATATCGTATCAGAAGTGATCGAGATGGTTCATAGA